TTTTGTGCTGTGCTGACATAGCAGATAATGTAGCAAAATATTTAAGCATATTTCTGAAAGATGCTCAAAGCAGCGAAAAAAAATATCCTTCAGAATTCTTCTGAGCAATAAGTGTTAACTTCAGTACTGCATCAGACCATTCGGTGTGTTGGGGCATGCTGGAGGACAGTGATGTCTTTTTTTCTGACTTATAAGTCAGCCACCCTGTTTTGTCTGAACAGGATTTCTTGGAGGGGTGTCGAGCTGAACCAGGGAACCAAGGAGGCTCTCCTCACTTTATGCTGTAAGAAATTGATCCTCCTCCATGATCCTTGCTTACCAAACATACCAGAAGGTTTTAATCCATAAAAATGAAAAACTTTTCCCATTTCAACTCCATTTTCTACTTCTCTAACTTAAACAAAACTTTCCCTGAGGAAATGATATAAATGTGCTCAAATGTTCTTAAAAGATTCCACATAGCACAAAATATTGCTATGAACTAAACCATGTTTCTCTTCATTTACATTTAAAAAGAAATATGTGGTAGTGGAAAAAAATTTAGATAGGAGTTAGGAAATGCTTTCCAATCCTTGTGTCACTGTGATCTCTTCCCTAAGCTTCAATTTCTTTGCCTGTAAAATGGGGTCAGTAAAAATACATGTGCTACCTATCTTACAGAATTATTGTAAAGGATCAAGTTAAATACAACACATGAAAATCCTTGAAATACTACAAAGGTGACACAAATGTATATTGTCATTGTTATTACAAGGTCCCCATGCCACATTTCCTCAACTTCAGTCCCTGCCCCTCTTTGTGCCGGGCAGGCTGCACACAATTCATTTCCTTTAGCACAGACACAACCAATCTTCTGCTATGGCACTGGAGAAGACATCGGAGGCCTCTGGTTTGGGATAAACAGTAATAGTCCTGCTCCCACAAACCTTCGGGAGGAAATCCACAGGACACTCAATTCACATCTCCCCCCACAGTCTTTTCAAAACAGATATAGAGAGGGGCATGAGTCAAGTTCCCTGTGAAAACTGTAATTTCATTGCCAGTATGGATTTAAACTTTAACAGCTTTGGTAGCCATCTGTAAAATGTCATTTCTGTTGGTTCCATCCTAGTAGTTCAAACACTAGAAAGCCACAAATCCACTTCCTTCAAAAAAATATATAATATATGTGCACTGTATAATATATGTGCACTCAAGCTATACTAATTTATTCTACAATTACTTTTATTTTTTAGCATTTTTATTTGGCTCTTATACTACATAATTAATGGTGTTTACAAGGAAAGTTTCTTTAACTAATGTAAATGGCATAAGTGGTTTACTGAGCAAGGCTTAAAACAAATAAACATTTTTCTTCTTTGAAAATTTTCTTCACTCTCTTCTGAATGTCTGGCACAAGAGCAGAGTTTTTTAAATGTCAAGGGGGTTATAGAAATCAGGCTTCTGAAGTCCATTCTCCCCTGGTTAGACAGGCTTATAATTCTGTTTCCTGTAATGGTTGGCCTTGGGGAGCCAACAATGGCCCTGCTGACCCAACACATCCAGACTCAGAAGCCTGTCTTTTCTTTGGGAGGTTGCCACTGTTTTTCTCCATGACCTTAAACATAACACAATATCTAGCCCTTACAGATCATTTCCTGCAGAGTTTGCAGTACTAGGGATGAGACACTCAGGAGATAAACAAATAAGCTCACTATAAAGACCAGAGGAAGACCAGAAATAAAACCTACCAGGTTTCTAAATACCTCCATTGTTATGATTACATTGAGGCAATTACTGGGACTGTCCCTCCTAGTCAAAGTTCAGACTGCGTTTTTTTGAGTGGCAGCACAGAGCCAGGTTACTGTAAATTAGAGCTGGCATTACAGTCACTACCTGTCAGGACATACAATATTTTTCTAAGATATTCTCAAGGGAAAGCATTGACATCAAAAGCCATTTCTTTACTCCTGTCCTCCCAGAATCAAAGTCAGGGGGTGGGAATGAACATGCCTCCCTCCACGCCCAACCCTTAGGAGGCCTCAGGGGGAAGCCTGGCTACAGGTTATCTCTGGAAAAACAGGCAATATGTCCTCTAAAGCAAGGGTCACCAAACCTGGGCCATGGACCAACACCGGTTTGTGGCCTGTTAGGAACCAGGCCGCACAGCAGGAGGTGATCAATAGGTGAGTGAAGCTTCATCTGTATTTGTAGCTGTTCCCCAGCACTAGCATCACCACCTCAGCTCCACCTCAGATCATCAGGCATTAGATTCTCATAGGAGCACTGGTCCCTGGTGCCAAAATGGTTAGGGACCACTGCCTAAAGTACCCTCGGAGTTATCTCAGGAGTTGCAGACCAGGCTATATACCAGCAAGCTTTCTTTAGAACAGGCTTCAGCCTCAGAACTGAGCATGGGGCTGGCAGAGCCTTGAGATCTCAAAGAACTCAACCCAGGTGAGTTTAGAACACAGAGATCTTTCACCATTTATCCAGATTCCCAGAACATAGCTTGGGATTAGATTCCAGACCTAGAGGGAAAGATATAGGTCAAATGTCTATGACAAGCATGTTTTGAGTGAACAAAACTGTACAAGACCCATCACTATACTAAGACCTTCATATAGCTAAATATTACTTTCACATCACTCAAAACATGTTCAAATGTGTATACATCCTACATTTAATAATTTGTCTAATAAAGGATTTTATAATTTTGCTTTTGAAATTATTTGGCTAAAGTAACTAATTTAAAATATGCTGTGATTTCTCAACACTCATCATGTATACTTAGGAATTCTCAGTAAAAGCATCTCATTTAAAGACTGCTTTCAAGTATACTGAAATTGTTATGAACACTAAATCCAGCAATTAATAAAGCACACTCATATTTTGTGACTAATAAATATTTATTAATTTTGCTTTGGCAGTTTTCTTTTTTTATTTGGGAGACAATAATATTTCCTGGTCAGACTTTAGACATTTTCCCAAGCACAGCTCGTATGCCCAACACTGTGAATCTCGTAGCTGGAGGTTAAACTGGCCCTCTGGGCTCCGGGCACTCAGCCAAGCACTCTCAAAGTGACTGGGCATTGACTACAGTGAGCTCTCAGGGATTCCCAGCTGCTTCATGGGACTTCTGCCCTCAACCAAAACAATTGTGTGGATGTACCAAGTCCTGTGGCATCACCTGAACAACCCAAGAAATTCTTACTAATTAAACTCAAATTCTGTAAATTTGTGAATTTTTGACTCCTTAGAGAAATTTACTAGTAACCCATGCTAAAAGCCTTCGCTGTTGGCCTTGTGTGAAGTCATTCTTCAGGGGATGAAATCAGGTTTCACGAATCCAATTTATTTTGTGTTCTAAGAAAAAATGAGATTTGAGAGCTGATATGAAGTTGCATTTCTAGGAAGCTTTTCTATCACTACACAAAATGTGAGCTATGCATACTCTGCCAAGGTGTTTATAACTAGACCCAAGATAACTTCTTTAAAGATATATCAGCAACTGTTAGGTAGAGTACAATTTGTCAACTGACTTTTAACACCACCTTCGAAAAAAAAATTAAGCCTTATCAGACTGTATCAACTCAAAAATAATCACAGGTAGTCTGTTGACTGTCACAAAATTTTATCTTTTGCCATCAGCAAATCTGAAGTTATAAAGAATTTGAAAACTCTACTTTCTAGATATGTCCTCTAACAATATCACATAATCAATGTGGTTTGTTTAGAGGATTTATTCCTGACCTTGGTTTGTTTTGTGTCTTTTTTAACATCACCAAAAACATATTGAGGGTACAGTGGCAAACTCATAGATACCGGCATCAGACAGCATGAGATGGAATTCTAATTCTGCCATTTTCCAGCTCTGAGGACCAGGACAAGCTATTAATCCTCCATTTCTTCATGTGTAAAATGGTACTAAGAATGCTTAATAGGATTGTTCTCAGGATTAAACAAGTTAATGAGTGTAAAGTTGATGGTGAGCAATCTATGTTAGCTTTGAGCATTAATCTTACTATTATCCATCATTTTCTATTTACAGTACCATAACTACCCCCTGAACTTATCTGCCTCCTGCCTTCCCTGCTTGTACTCAGCTTTCACCTACCCCAACCCTTTCTCTTCTCCTTCCCAAAGATGAGTAATCCCTTCAGAATGGAAAATTGATCAGTTCAACCCCATTCCCACATACAAACAAAAATAAGAGTAAACAAAAATTGATCCAGCTACCCTTAATATAAACCTGAAAGGCCCTGCATGGTCTGACTCCTGCCTACACTCCAACCTGTTCCCATTTCTATTCCCCACTCCCTTTATGCTGTAGCCATACCAATCAGTCTTCTTTGCATTGCCCATGCTGGGCTCTCTCCTGTTTCAGCTATTCCTAGGCCAGGAGAGCTGTCCCTGCCCAACCCAGCTTTACACATGCCAGCCCAAAAGCTACCTTATTAACTACATCACACATACTTTTTCGTAGGTCCATATTCCTTCCCTTTCAAAGCACTAAGTTCAGTGAACTGACGACCTATTTAAAGGATCATTTCCTAACGTCTGACTTGCCTATCCAACTTTAAGTGTGGGAGGGTACACCTGCCAGTTTCATTCATAATCGTGTTCCTCATAACCTAGCTCAGTCCAGACTCGGAGGACAGAAAACATTAAATGAATGAATAAATGAATGAATGAATGAATGCATGCACGCATGCATGCAGGGAGGGGCCAAAACGAAATAGACTGCACAATCTCAAAAAGCTGGCTAGCACACCTGACGCTCATTATTAAATGGTCCCCAAACATCCCCGGTCCCTTTTCCGTGCACTGCACCACCCTTTTTTAAATATATATATACATTTTGGCCTTGGTTTTTGCGTCTCTCCTTACATGCATAATAGCCCATGCTTCAGGGGGCGATCTCCTGGGATCTGAGATCCAAGGACACCAAGCCCAAGGGCGACAAGCCGGGACGGAAGTGCGGGGCGCGGAGCCCGAGCCGCGCGGGCTCGAGCGGAAGTGCCGGACGCAGGGCGGAAGGCGACGTAGTGCCGGGCGCAGGGCGACGTAGGCGGCGGAAGGCTCAGGTGGGTGTCAGTGGACCCGCGCCAGCAGGCGGGCGCGTTTGCAGCCCCTTGCACAGAGCCAGCAGGCGGGTTGGGAAGAGGCGCAAGCCAGACCTTGGTTGTTGCGCACGCGGCCAATTTTGATTGTCATTAGAGAGACTTTAATTAAACCGAGAGTGTAAGTCCATGAACTACGGGAGTGGGGTTGTTATAAACGTGTGTGTATGTGTGTTCGCGCACAGTGGCGCTCTGGGAAATCGACAAATAATGGGCGGGAAAAGGCAGCTTTTTAAGAGAAAGCAGAAAACATTTCAACTTAATGCTATTTACAGTGATTCACAGATGCCCCGTCCCCGGTTTAATTAACTTCCGTGAAGTGGCGATATAATCTCAATTGGCAGCCCGCTGAGATGACTGCCTTTTTAAATAAATATTTTTGAGCAGCCATGTTGACCTTTTATTGGGGATGAAAAGATTGTAAGGTGCACTAGGGAACATTGTTGAGTCCAGGGCTCTCTGGACCTCCTCTCTGCTTTATTGAGCAAAAGCATCCCTCTGGGTGCTGAACAATGAGAGAATAAATCAGAGACTGTGCAGTTCTCAACAAATACTTAGCCTTGTCAGTTACCCCTAACAAATATCACCTCATACAATTTTTTAAGAAATCCAAAGGTAGAAAAGCCCCAGCCAAATTATTACTAACATGAATAGGCAGTGCCTGTTTCTAAGGCTGTCTTTAACAAGGAGTTTTTGGCCTGGGTGATCTTTATTCTTGTTGCTTAATAGAAAGTGTTATATATAGTACTTTATATTTCAGAGGTTGTTAAAAAATCCACAGTATGGCCCAACCTGATCTCAAGAATCTCAGTTCTTCTGGGACAGGGATAGTGTCGAGGATCTCTTCTATCCCCAACCTTTTCCAGCGCATTTAGCAACATAAGCCGAGCTCCTGTAACTACATGTTGCCTTGGGGAAGCAGCCGCTAGAGCTATGTCTTAGCATGCATGACACTGCTCAAGATGAGGTAGCTATTAGAGGCCACATTCTTTTCATTTAGTAATTATCTGAGCAATCGCTTATGAAAATACATATGAAGCTCTCTACCAATATTTAGAGCTGTACACATTGTTTTAAAACACTTGGAAAAAGAGGTATACCCTGGAAATATTGAATGATAATAGTAATATTGGAGTAAGGCAGAACTAATCATGGTTCTGTGTGAAATTTCATAGCCTAATAACCTAGGTCCTGCTCTGCTAAGGAATTGCCTAGAATCAGAAAGTTCCTGTCATGAAAACGAAGATTGGTGTGGCTGGTGCTTTAGACAAGCACACTCCCCAGATTTTCTTTCTTCGTGCTTGTTGTGGTCAGTAGTAGCTGCCTGCCAAGGAAGGATCAATATTTTTTTGTCTCCTTCACTGGAAAAAAATATGTCTATTTGGTTTTATTTAGATAGATGGCAGGTAAGGTAACAGAAACGAGGATTTTCTAGCTTGGGAATTTATTGGACTGTATTTCCATTTTATTCCAGGTCCCTGGCTCTATCATACTTTTAAGTACCCAGACGCAATGTGGAGCTATGCCTTCAAAATAAGTTATTTTTTTATTATTAAAGTTTTGTATTTCCTAACATGTGCATGCTCTAGCTGGCTGATGCATTCAGTTAACTCTGATGCCAGGGTTCAGGGTTTCATATGTTAGCAGGACCTTGAGGTGATCTGGTACTAGTAAGTTTTTTAATGTTTCTTATTTTAAATCTAATTTTGCCACTGCTTTATTCAAGGAGTGAATATCAGAGGGAGCCAAAAGCCAGCTGGAATAGTTCCTGCATGCAGTTTTAATCTTGTTTGCAATTATTTTGAAGGGGAGCAACCATCTGGATCCTGAGATGTGTAGCTACACAGGTAGCAGGGACTAGGCAAGCTTCCTTCATCCTTCCCCTAGTATCACATAGCAAGTTCAAGGGACAAAATCATTTGAAGAAGGATATGCAAAATGAAAGATTTGGGCTAAGTTTCTCATAGGTACTATCCCATATCTCTAACTCTCCATTCCAGTTACAGCCACAGGAAACTGGAGGCATAAAAACATTACTCTCTTTTTATTTCAATCCTTATCCAAAATAAAGTTTCCAGAGATCAAGGCAAAACTCAGAATACCTTCTATTTTAAGAAAGAATCCCTCTCCAAGGATTTAAGAGCATTTCACCAATAATATCTAGTAATAACCATTTTACTGCTTTAGGCTTCATCACTGTGGTATTGTATGTGTTTGTAAATCTCCTGTCCAAGGTGTGAGTTCCTTAAGAGCAGGGAAAATATCTTAATTGCTTTTTATATTTCTAATACTTGGCACAGTGACTGGCACATTGCAGACACTCAATGTATTAGAAATAAAAAGGCAGCGTCCCTAAAAGGAATGTGAAAACATCACTGGGAATGCAACAAGGTAGAAAAAAGAATATAAAACAGTAACCTTTCAAGGGAGTACTACATGCAGTTATAAATACTGCAGTTATTAATGCTTTAATAAAAAAGCCTGGAATAGGGAAAGGCGTATTTGAGAATCCATGGATGGTCACCAAACTGCATTCCAGGGAGATCTGGCCTGGTCAGTTGCAGGGCCTTTGTTGTTTTAAATGGAACATGCGAGCTGAAAGGCTTCACCAGCCTTGTCTTCATACTCTCCAGGCCTGCTATGCTCAGTTTCTCACACAAACACCTGTCGAATGAATATTTGAAGCGTATCTATTTGAAGATATACCAAATTATTAGCTTACCTAGGGCACTTACATCTTGGTTTGATCATGCCTAAGGATGGAAGACCTATGTACGGTCACTATTTTAAAGCCATGTTGCCTAAATAATACTGAAGGAGAGCAACGATCATCTTTTCTACTTTGCTAACATTCCAAAGGAGTGCAAAATCAACAGCTTTTTGTATTGTAATTAGGCAGACATGTGGTATATGCTGCTTCCTATGTTGCCAGTGGAATTGCAGCAGAAACCAGAATGTAACTACTGGAAATAAATGAACTTCCTCTCATTGTTCCTGTACTTTTCATATTAATCATGAAATAATGGGGAAATGGCTTCTAGTTTGTCAGGAGGAAGGACATGAGCTTGAATTATTTGATTTTTAACTCTTTAATTCTTAAAACATGTAGTCCCTCCAGTCAACCAAGAGAATGGATACTGTTATTTCATAGAAATTAAGTAAGGCTGAGAGGCACCTTAGAACATAAGACTGAAAAAAAAAAAAAAAAGTTCTAAATTCAGCTCTGTTTCTCCAGGTTCAAAAATGAAGTTAATCTGAATCTTCTTAGATTTAGAGATCAGAACCTCATTCTTATAGTAGAATTCTGCCTTCTAAAGCTGAGACTTTCCTCATTCTCTCTATCCTTAAATTAAGCCTTAAACATGTGGTATCTGTTATTTGGTATATTCTGAGGCTTAATGTATAAAACTTTTTGAGATTTTTTTTTTCTTAAAGAGAGGGGGTTGAACTTAGAGACTTTTTAATTCTGAAAATTCCATGTTGTTCTCATCATGTATACAAATAGGCCATTGTTCAAAGAGCAAATATAGAGAAATGAACAAAAAAAATGCAGTGTGAAATGCTTTGGTTAAACATTAGTTTATTCATGAAGCAAGGGGATCTCCAAAGTCATTTCCCAATTCAAATATATTCTACCAGTAAAAGCTCTTAAATAACGGAATAGGATTCAGAGGATTGTAGAATCTCACATAAGTGAGGGATACTAGGGCCTGATCTCAAGAGTGGATGGTTTCCAACATTCAGATTGAGCAGTGTACTTCACGGGCCTAGGTACTGTTGGTATCACAAGTCCGAGGAAATGCTAGATTTAGTCATCAAATGTTCCAAAGTCATTTGCTACAAAATGGCTAAAAATGAATGAAACATCTTTCCAGTCTTGTGTGGTCAGGAGAATAACTTCGCCTCTTTGGCAAGATGAATTAGAAATGGAGTATTAGTGATGAATGGAAAACATTGCTTGAATGGACAGATTTTCAATTGCAAACAGTTGTTTTTAGAAATAGGATTGTGTGCTCTTTAAATAGCAAGAAAACTGGCATTACTAGCTGGGTACAATAAGACTAAGATGTTATTAATGAAATTGCCTTCTTTCTGGGTCAGTATTAAGTATCAGAGATATCTTCAAAGAGAATGGGTCATTTTGGTTAAGAAGGATAATGTAGAAAGGAGTCTGTATAATTCCTTATGCACTTTGTTCCTATCCCTTGAACTAGAATGATTTTGCCCTCATCTTAATGCTATCTGTATGGAATGAAGGCATTTTCAAATTAGTTTTTAAACTCTATTAAGCCCTCATGTATGATATAACGCAATCACATTATTCAGGTTTTCTTGGCTTTTAGGAACAGCTTTGCAGCCATTATGTCGTAATTGTACTGAACATTGTTGCACACTCTGAATTCAGAATATGCCTCTCTGGCTCCAAGCCAGATGCTGAGTCAGCGTCTTTGGGTTTGCAGATGAGGGGAGGGGTGCAATGTGTACAGGCCCTGTATGTTAACGGGAATTCGTCCAGAATCTCCTTTAGTGTCCTGGATGCTAGAGGGAGTAAATATAGGGAATATATAACAGTATATTACTGTTCCTGATTAGCATCGTCAATTTATTTTTCTCAGCTGACTGTTTTCCTGAAAATCCTTCCCTGACATTGTCATGTGCACCAACACCATTACCAAGCAGACGCCTCTGAAGCAGTGATCTGGAAAGTGTGCCTACTAAGGTCTAAAGTTTCTAAAACAAACTCTTGCTTACACTAAAGAGTCCTCTCCCCTTCTACTTCACATATGTCAGCTTGTTCCAGGCCTAGATAAACACAGTGGTGATTCTGGACAGGGAAGAGAATGCCAAGATAATGAGGGTCTGTCATTAAAAATCATTTTAAAAATGTGTTTAATAGTATGAAAGAAAAATACATTCTTCTTTTTTTTCAAAGGCACTTTTCCATCTCAGATGCTCAAACAGTT